AAAAAAAAAAAAAAAAGAAAAGAAAAGAGACACAGACTGGCTGAATGGATGAAAAAACAGAACCCCTCTATCTGTTGTCTACAAGAAACACACCATATGGATAAAGATATACATAGACTAAAAGTGAAGGGTTGAAAAAAAGATATTCCATGCAAATGGAAATTTAAAAAGGAATGTAGTTGTGATATTGCTTTCAGACAAAATAGACTTCAAGACAAAGACTGAAAGAAGAGAAAAAGAAGGGCTTATATAATAGTAATAGGGTAATCCAGTGAGAAGGCATAACACTTATAAATATCTATGCACCCAACTCAGGAGCACCTAAATAGGTGAAGGAAAGACTGCTGGAACTAAAAGGAGAAATAGGGAGCAACACTATAATTGTTGAGTATCTCAACATCCTGTTATTGCCTTTAGACAGATCTAGGTTAAAAGAGAGAGAGAGAGAGAGGAGATACAGGACCTAAATGATACTATAAATCGAATAGATTTGATAGATATCTATAGAACTTTCCACCCTAAGACTCTAAAATATACATTTTTCCCACCCTGGCATGGAACCTTTTCAATGATTGATCCCTATGTTAGGACACAAATCAAGTCTTTATAGATTCAAAGTCACAGACATTATATCCAGCATCTTCTCAGACCATGATGGAACTAAACTCAAGATTAATTTCAAGAAACACCCTCAAAAGTACACAAACTCATAAAAACTGAACAAACTGCTTGTGAATGACTTTTTAACTACTGATTAGATTGAGTCTGAAATAAAAATATTAGGTAATAAATGATAATGAGTACACACGTTTCCATAATCTGTGAGACATGGCAAAAGGAGTCATAAGAGGGAAATACATAGCAATTAGTGCACAAAGGAAAAAGATGGAAAGGTGTCAAATAGATACTCTAACATCATATCTCAGGGAATTGGGGGAAAAACAAAGAAACATGGTGCCAGGCGAAAAGAAATAATAAAGGTTTGAGTAGAAATAATTGAAATAGAAAATAAAAGAGCCATACATAAAATAAATCAAACCTAAAGTGGGTTCTTTGAAAAGATGAACAAGATTGACACATCATTGGCTAGATTGATAAAGAAGAAAGAAAGAAATAAGATAAATCAAATACATGATGAAGTAGGCAACATTACAACTGACATAATAGAAATACAAAATATTATTAGAGGATACTATTAGCAACTATGTGCCAACAAACAAGATAACTTGGAGGAGATGGACAAATTCCTCGATACATATAATCTACCAGGATTGAATCAGGAGGACATAGAAAACCTGAATAGGAGAAGACTGAATCAGTTATAAATAACCTCCTGACAAAGAAAAGACCAGGTCCAGATGGCTTCACTTCTGAATTCTAAAAAACTTTTAAGGAAGAGTTAATCCCTATACTACTCTATACTACTCAAATTGTTTCTAAAGATTCAAAAGGAAGGAAACCTTCCAAATGCATTTTATGAAGCCTCCATCATCCTCATTCTCAAAACAGATAAGGATATGACTAAAGGGAAAAATTTGGACCAATATCGTTGATAAATACAGATGCAAAAATTCTCAACAAGATACTTGCAAATCATATCTAACAGCATATAACAAAGATTATTCATTACAACCAGGTAGGCTTTATTCCAGGGATGCAAGGGTAGTTCAACATATGAACACCATAAATATAATACACCATATTAATAGAAAGAAAGATACAAACCATTTGATCATTTCAATTGATGCAGAGAAAGCATTTGATAAAATACAACATCCTTTCGGGATTAAGACCCTCAGTAAGATTGGTATAGAAGGGTCATTTCTGAACACAGTAAAAACCATCTATGAAAATCCTACAGTGAACATTACACCGAATAGGGAAAAACTAAAAGCATTTCCACTGAAAACTGGCACCAGGCAAGGCTACCCATTTTCTCCACTGCTTTTTAATATAGTGTTGTAAGTCTTAACTAATGCAATTAAAAAAAAAAGAGAGAGAACAATATAAAAGGCACTCAAATAGCAAAGAAAAGTTGAAAATATCTATTTGCAGGTGACATGAGGGTATACTTAGAAGACCCAAAGGATGGGACCAGCAGTTAGCATCATGGATATGTCTTTGAACTCCCATGTAGTTGACCGCAGTTTGAGTCCCGGACCCGGTGTCTTAAACTCACGCTGAGCGTGTGTGTGTGTGTGTGCCCAAGTTCCCAGAGGAGAATGGAGGAAAAGGGATTGCAGTGTGACCATCCCCCCTGGGGGGTGATTTCTCTCTTTCTATCTCTCTTTCTTTCTGGCAATCACACATGCCTTATAGCAAAAACCTCTCCAAAAAAAGAAAGAACAAAACAAAACAGAACAAAAAATGACCCACAGGTTGCCATGAAAAAAATTCTCAAAGTAATAAGTGAATACAGTAAAGTGGCAGGAAACAAAAATCAACATCCAAAAATTTATAGCATTTCCATATACGAACAACAAGTTGAATTAAATAGAGCTGAATAGAGCTGAAGAAAGGAATTCCTTTTACCATAATCACAAAATACGTAAGACACCTATGGATAAACATAACTAAAAATGTCAAAGACATTTACAAAGAAAACTATGAAAATCTTTAAAATGAAAATCTTAAAAAAGATATTGAAAGTGGCATAAAAAAGTGGAAGGACATCCCATGTTTCTGGATTGGAAGAATTAGCATAATCAAAATGGCAATTCTACCTAAATTAATCTACATATATATTGCAATTCCAATCAAAATACCAGAGATATTCTTTACAAATATAGAAAAGATAATTATAGAATTTGTCTGGAATCATAAAAAGATCTCGTATTTTCAAAGCAATCCTGTGCAAGAAAAGTGTAGTGCGAGGCATATCACTCCCCGATCTGAAGTTATACTATAAAGTCATGATAATCAAAACAGCATGATATTGGCACAAAAATAGACATGTGGACCAATGTAATAGAACTGCGACCCCATAAATAAACCCTGAAGCTTATGGCCAACTGATTTTTGAGAAGGGATACCGGTAAATCCACTGGGAAAAGAAAAACTTCTTTAATAAATGATGCTGTAAAAACTGGGTATCCACCTGCAGAAAGATAAAGCTGAACCCCATTTTTCACCTTTAAAAGTCAACTCAAAATGGATCAAATCTGAACCTAAAATCTCAAACTATAAAACTAATGGTGGAAAATATTGGGGAAACTCAGGAAGACACTGGAGTAGACAAAGACTTCTTAAATAAGACTCCCAAAGCACAGGCAATAGTCCCTAAAATAGACGAGTGGGACTATATCAGACTAGGAAGTTTCTGCACAACAAAGGACACAGTAACAAGTATGAATCAACAACCCTCAGAATGGGAAAATATTTTTGTAAAATATGCCTTGGACAAGGGCCTGATAACCAGAATACACAGGGAACTCAAGTGCCTTACATGAAAAAAAGTGATTAACCCAATTAAAAGATGGGCAAATGAGCTGAACAAAATTCTAAGTAAGACATATGAGCAGCCAAAAAGCATATGAGAAAATGCTCAACATTCCTCATCATAATGAAGAGGCAGATTAAAACCACAATGAGATACCACCTAACTCCTGTCAGAATGGCAGATTAAAAATCTAAAAAGTGATAAGTGTTGATGGGGATGGGTGAAACGGGGACTCTCCTACACTGTTGGTGGGAATGTAAACTGGTTCAGCCACTGTGGAGATCAATATGAAGATTCCTTAAAGATCTACAAATAGAACTACCATTTGAACCAGCAATCCCACATCTGGGTGTCTACCCGAAGGACAGGAGAATGCTCAGTCAGAAAAGCACTTGTACATCAATATTTATTGCAGTATTATTCACGATCGCTAAGACATGGAACCAACCCAGATTTCCACAAACTGATGAATGGATTGAAAAAGTGTAGTATATATACTCTTTGGAATATTACTAGGCCATTAAAAACAAGACCTTGGCATTTGGTAGAAAGTGGTCGGATATGGAGGATCTCTTGCTGAGTGAAGCAAGCCAGGACATAAAAGAAAGATATGGTATGTATCCACTTAATGTATATTGACTATCTGCTTTTTGGTAGAGATTGAAATATTATAGGGAATAAAAACCGTGAAAATATAAGTGATGTTTAAGACAATGTGGAACAGGACAGGAGAAGAGAATAGTATGGAGAAAGATAGCAAGAGAACAAATAGAGAGGATGATGATGTGTATAGTAATTTCCTATTTGTTTATTTTTTTTGAGAGAGCTTTTTTCTTTAGAGTGTGTGCACTCGCCAGAGACAGAGAGAGACAGAGAGACAGAAAGCAAGAAATCAACCCCTGGGGGAAAGGCCATGCCACAATCTCTTCTCCTCCATTCTCCTTCTGGGGTCTTGTGCATCTATGCACATGTGCCCAGCATGAAATTAAGTCACTGGGTACGGGACTCGAACCAGGGTTGACTCCATGGGAGTCCAGCGACATAGCCACTAAGCCAACTGCTGGTCCCTAATATTCTCAACTGAACTTGTCTGAGAATTATTTCATGTTGGGTAAAGTATTTTTACAAACAAAATGATAAATAGTGATTGAATGTTTTTAAAAATAATTGGAATAATAATAATATTCTGGAAAAAATAATGAAAGCTATTTGATAATGATGATGGGGATTTTAATGTATTTGTATTGACTGATAGCCACAGTATTTCTTCTGGAAAAAGAAATGTAATATACTGTAAAGTCATATGTGGCTCAATGTAATATGAAAAAGATGATGATAACAATTACAAATTTTTAAAAAATATAAATAAAAAAGGAAATGAAATGAATATTCTTAGGGGAAGAAGAAAGAAACAAAATATTTAAGGGACCCAAAATGGAAAGAGATCTGCTGATTATAATGTTTATGGTAATGTCTTTTGCAGGACCAATATGCAGTGTATTCATGATGAGAAAATTCATTTGGTATGCTGTAATGATACACAGTGACTGAATACATACAATTAAAAAAATAAAAAATATATATATTCTTCAAAGCAGAAATTCCATAATACCATTAAAGTCAATTAATCAGCTCTCAGCCTTAGCACTCACAACTGTCTATCAAAGCAGTTAATTTTATCCAAAATAGTAGACTTTGTTATGCAAGTTCATTATGCTCTTCTAGGATATTAACAAAACAAAACATGAAATACTGAAATAGAAGTGAAAGGTGATAGAGACTGATTGTCACAGAGATTGTTAATCCCTTGTAGTATCTGCTCCTCCACCTTCTGTAACATTAATAAAGGGAATGTTTTATTAAAAAGGAAATTTGATTTTATATATCACTAACCATGCACTCCTGTCATTATTTATTACATAAATGCTACCTAGTTCCATTATTTAAAAGGCACAGCCATTTTATGTTCACAGTTCACTTCGGTATTTATAAACAAAATTTTCCTGATTTACATACACACATTTACTAGTGATTTAACATTGAGATGTAATCTGACATTCACAATATCTCATTCTTTGTGGACAGCATGATGAACAGTCAGCATAAGAAGCACATGAATAAGGGGAAAACTGAGACGGGGTCATTCAGGCCTCTTGCAACTCATCACTGTGGAAGATGCATGAGCCAGGACAGGACAGGGAAGAGGAGACAACAGGCAAGGACCTGAGTCAAAGAACTTGAGCTGTGTCTCCACAGAAGATGTGAATGCAAACTAGGAAAGCAGGAACATCTAGTACAACGGTTACAATAAGAGCTGTGAGGCAAACATTCAGAAAACTGAGCAAATACATATTCAATAAATCAAAATAGCTCTTCACTCCTTAGCAGTAGTAATTCATAAACAGCAGACACAGCAACACTGAGCAAAAAAGAATCGACCTCCACTACTGTTAACAAATGACTATGGCATGTTCCAAGACATTCACAGGCATTCGAGAAATCATGAAAATTCACTGAAGAACATAAAGTGCTATCTTTGAAGACAAACAAGCAAAGTCTTAGATTGTAAGTGGTAAAATCAATACCTTAGTGACACAGATTCTGCAAATTTAGAACTTTGAAATATCCAGCATTTCCCCAAAAAGTTTCTTATGCATTAAGAGAGAGAGACAAAATAATTTTCAAAGAAAACAAAATAAATTGGCTGAAGTCAGACATGAATGTATTAAAATGTTACCTTCACTTTGAAATGTATGAAGTATATGCTATATTTTAACAACTCAAATAAAAGAAAACTTAGATACCATTCTATACATATGTAAAATGAATCAGCTAGCAAAGAAGGAACATGGATTCTCCATGATGATCTCAGAACACCTGGTGTCTATGCAGGCTGACAAGTGCTCAGAGAGACAGAAATACAACCCACGGGCCTCTCCCTACATTGCAGCACCCTGGATCCCCAACCTGCTCTGTCACCTTCTCCCCCTGCTCGGTCCCATCTGGAGCCAGTGGCGAGGATCATGGCACAGGTAAGACGCTGGTGCTCCTGAGACCTGAGTAGCACCTGCACTTGCAGAGCCCTGGTGTGGTCCCTGTGCCAGCTCCTGCTCTGTCTGCCCTGACCCTGCTTCACACTCCCTGCAGCTCCTCCTGCTCAAGGCACAGCCTCCACTTCCTACCCCAGTCCTGCTCGTCCTGAGGGATCCATCTGCTCCATGTAGCCATGGGTGCCCCTGTGGTTTCTTGCAGAGCTTAGGGCTAATGGTGGTGGGAGTCCTCTTGGGCCACCTTCATCATCCAAGTGGTCTGCAAGCAACTGCTCCCTGCTGGCATGGCCCAGGATCAGGAGGCGCCCCAGGATCCGGAGCAGCCAGGATCTGGAGAATTATTAGATGGTGGAAGGGGAATTCATCCAAAAATGCCTGCATTGGCCAGATTGACCCTTATCCCTTCAGGATTCAGGGCTGTTTTCATTACTGGTCTCTCACGATGCAGCTTTCCAGTAGGACTTTCTGACTAGCTTCTGTGTTCTTCTTAGATACCACGCTGGCAGAGTGGAAGATGTCATTGCAAAACAGCGTTGAAATATTTTGTGTCTTTAGATCATTATAAACAGAGGCCTCACAGCTTATGTAGTTAGTTCATCAAACTGAAGAACTGAATGCAGCCATTACAACTCCTGAAAGAGAACTGAACCTCTCTGGCTAAAGCCAATCAACCAAATACCAGTGATTGTTCATTCTGCAAGAGGAAGCAGAATCAATGTTGTGTGATCCTAACATTATATGTGATTGTGCAGAGCCAAATGTGCTGGGTGCAGAGATATTTATAAATGTTCTTTCATTTCTGTGAATCATCTCTCTTAGCACTATATATTGTCTTTGTCTCTTCTTACAGCTTTTGTTTTTAACCCATTTTTTCCTGAAATTAGTATCATGACTCCAATCTTTTTTGTTGCTTTTATTTCTGTTTATGTGGAATACCTTTGTCTAGCCCTTCAATTTTAGTCTATGTATTTCTTTATTTATGAGGTGTGTTTCTTGTAAGGAGTAGATAAAGAGTTTCTGTGTTTTTATCCATTCAGCCGGTTTGAGTCTCTTTATTGGAAAATTTAATCCATTAATAGTCAATGTTATTTTTGATATTTGTGAACTTTTCTTAGTCATTTTGTTAGCCATTGTTTTGTGTGTGTGTGTGTGTGTGTGTGTGTGGTTTGGTTGTTTTGTTCACTTATTTATATTTTACCTCTTTAGTTTTTCAGATACAGTACTCCCTTCAGTACTACTAGAATAGCTGGTCTGGTATCAGTAAATGATTTCAGGTTTTGTTTTACTGGGAATATTTTTATCTTTTCTTTCCACTTGAAAGATAATCTCCCCAGGTACAGTATTTTGGGCTGAATATTATTTTTTTATTATAGTGTTTTGAATATATCTTCCCATTCTTTTTTGTCTGCATTGTTTCAGTTGAGAGATCTGATGTTAGCCTAATAGAATAACCTTTGTTAGTGACCTGATTTTTTTTCTGCCATATTTAGCATCTTGTGTTTGTGTGTGATTTTGCCATTTTGGCTGTTATGTTCTGTGTAGAAGATGTTCTTATGTTGATTCTATTTGGGTTCCTTTGTATTTCTTGGGTCTGGATGTAAGAATGTTTCTCTAGATTTGAAGTTTACAGCAAGTATTTCATATAATAAATCTTCTATGCTCTTGTCTTATTTTTTGACTTCCTAGAATATCTAATATTTGGGTATTTGAGCATTTGGTAGTGTCTAATATTTCCTGTATGTTGTCCTCATTTTAAAAACATTTTTCAATTCTTTTTGGTCCTTTTATCTGTCAGACATTTTATCTTCCTGATCAGAGATTCTATCTTCTGCCTCATTTTATCTACTATTAATACTTTTTTTCTTTCTTTTTTTATGTTAACTATATTTTTTCAACCAATTCTGATTATTTTATTTTTCTTCGAGACAATTTTAGTAGTATGTTTTTTTATTTTTAAAAATTTATTTATTTTACATACTTTCACCAAACATCACCACAGCATACAAAATATGATTTTCCAGCCAGAATACACGGTAAAGTGGCTTAATCATACATACTATCATCAAAAAAATAATTTTCCATTTCTTGTTTTTGTATATATATTTTCCCTCTATTTCTTACCCTCTGCCATTTCCCATCCTCTCACCCTATCTCTGGTATGTGCAGTTGCTTTCCATTCCTTTATTCTTTTCCAAGTTGTATTCATTCACAAAATTTAATTAATCTAAATTTTTTTGTTTGGTAAGCAGTTTTTTTTGTTTTGTTTTGTTTTCTTTTTTATTAATTGGTTATTATTATTATTGTTTCAATTTCATTATCATTTATACATCCAATCATGTTATTTAGCTTACAAAGTGAATATTTCAACATGTGAACATTTCTCTTTAGTCCAGTTGATAAAACTATAAAATTATCTTCAGCAGATAATGCCACATTTGTTTGTCTCATTTATGATTTGCCTCTCTATTTTTGAGTCGAGGAAGGACATTTAGAGGAAAAATATGGAGGCAAAGCATTAAATATTTTCAATAGTAAGATCAGCTGATATCTACATATCTGTGAACAAAAGTTGACTTTAGACATGATACTCTGTAGGTAGAATGAATATCCTATAAAATAACACAGAAATGAGACTATGTAGCTTACTATGGTCACTAAATAGGCATTTTTT